TTATCTTATTTAATTTAAATATTTATGGTATGACTAGAAAATAGCTATTAAAATTATCTGATGTCTTACTTGGAATGCATGTAAAGTGGACTTCTCTTACAAGAGGTTTTAAACGTGATGAGTCATTAGTAAAATTATAACGGAATGATAGAACACGACGTCTCAATGTAGCTAACATTATTTTATGGGCACCACTAGGAAGTAGAATTGGTGTAAGCGAGTAGACATTGCCTTGTGAGGGTAGTCCTACATAATGAGCATCAACAAGGTGCTCCATTTTGGCCTTACGAAAGGTTATAATCAGAAAAATTAGGAGAAGACTGTTTATCAACAAATATCAAAATGTGTTGAATAGCTCAAAATAATTTTGACAGAGGATGCCACAAATTCTGAAAATCCTGAAATGAATTCGATGACGTATAGAATTTTGTTATTTGCGACTGCGGTGTCTACGTTCACACACAATCACAAAAAAAATTACTTTTGTCAACCAGCTGATCGCAGCAGAAGCAACAGAAACACAACCATAACCCCTCCACCCCTCCCACTCTACCACGTTTCACAGACAGGGCAAACAAACCAACGAACACAGTATGTCACAATTTTCTTATATATATGCATATAAAGGTAAAGTTTTAGTTAGAATATGCACAGCAGTAGTCTAGAGGAAAGAAATATACGTGCAAACAGGTGGAAGTATACCAATCCCAAGTTAGTTTGAGGCAAGTCGAACCCTAAACAACGTATCGTAGGTTGGCAACACCGACATTTTCTACCGTTGTCGGGAGGCGAACCTCGCCTAGCCCGTACATTGTGGTTCCAAATGCAGCGCTCGTCCACTCGCTGGGAGTCGTGGCGTACTCCTGTAATCCAGCTACTTGGAGGCGGGAAGTCGAGGATGGTTTGAGGCTGGGAGTCCTGCTGCGCAGTGAGTCATGTTGACTGGGCGTCCGCACGAAGCTCGTCGTCAATATGGATACCTTGGAGGAGTCCGAGGTAGCCAGGTTGGTTTAGGAGGGGCGGACCGGGCCAGGGGGGTAACCCAGCAGCCAAAAGTCCCCGCGGTGTGCAGTCGTGGGATCGCGCCCGGGAGTGGGAGCTGCGTGGCAGCCCGGCCAATAAAGTCAGACCGACTTCCATTTTGACATTTTTGCTTGTTAATTGTATGTAGACGTGAAATAACATTCAGATCTTTTACACGAAGTTTTTATTAGTTTTGTATGAGAACTTAAGTTACTTAAGTTGCGATGCAAATGTGCGTGTGACTGTGTGTGGCGTCCTGGACCTGGATGGTATTCCGCAGCTCCCGGGAAACGTCCTCCCACCCCCCTCACCCTCTGTGGACTGGTTATAGAAGAAACGGAGTTTTTTCCGCTCGTAAACGAAACGCTTAAATTTGGAGATCAGGAAGTCGGAAAATTCCGGGAGCTCCTAATCCACCTCCTGCTGGGAGGGTCATTCCAAAGCTCCCGAATTCGCTGACTTAAGGCGCCAATCTCGGATCAGCCCCCCAAATTTGAGTTTTTTCCACGAAAAGTTGTAGACAAGACGCTGAAATTTTGGGACCAGAAGTAGGAAAATTCCGGGAGTTCCCTAATGACCCTCTCGTGAGCGCTGTGTGCCCGATTGTGAGCAGCTGTGCCCATCCTCCTATCCAACATGACATACACCGCGGTCGCTTACCGCCAGCCCGCGAAGTGCTCTGCCCTGCTAATGACCTACCTCACGGCGATTAAGTGGACACCGCCATAAGCGACACACATATGTGGCTACCCCCCCCCCCCCCACCGCCTTCCGCGCACTTCTGTGGTTATACTACACCGCATGTAGGCGTGCGAGCCGAGCGGGCTTGCGGATCGCCCTGAGGATCGTCGCCTCCTGAACACATGGCGCCTTACGGACCGAAGCGAGTAGGCGACCGGCCCTCACACAGGACTGCGCCACCGAATTGCGCGCGGGGTGAGAGGTCATCCAGAAAGTAAAGTCGCGTCATTCGCCGCCGTCACGACCTTCCCCAAGTTTTCAGCCCCTGCAAGGTCTCAAAGCGCCTGTGAGGTAGGCAACGTCTTGCTGCTGCACTGCGTGTACTGCGGGATGGCCTACCTCGAGTCTCGCAGGCGCCGACCTCCCGCCATTGGCCGAATGAACCTGAGAAAAATGAACGCACTGTCTGGACGATGCCCCCAAATAAGCAACCTGGCCAGATATAGATGCCCCAAAAGGCATGGAAGATCCCGCGCCGTGCGTCATTTTTAAGTGTGTTTTTTTAATTTAAAGCAGTGATAGTGCTTATTGTGCACGCGCTGCCGGGCGGGGCTGCGGGCCACGCGCGCGAAGGCGTTTACCCCCGCGCTAGAATTTATTTTCGTCTGGCCGTGAATGTTTCGGGCGTACGAACCAACCAACGCCGCGGGTTGTTGCTTTCCGAGCGCGCGCGCGCTCGTCTCGTGGCATTCTGCCTTCGCCGCCTCCTCAGAAGACAATCGTAATCCCCAACCCCCCACCCCCACGTGTGCCATGTCACCTGTGGGCAGCTTCGTTCGCCAACACTACTTTTGTTTCGCCCCGGTTTCGCCCAAAGATTAACGCTTCTCTGCGAAACTATCGCTGTCGCAGATCAGAAAAACAACAAAGGTTTTTTTTTTAAATTTCTTTATCTCAGGTTGACGATGACTCCCCCTCCCCCCC